CACAGTCCGCCCATCCATTTAATATACAGGAATTTGCAGATTGAAAATCGAATTATTTGATAATTAGCAGCTTTTGTTCTCAGTTTTTATTTGATTTTCTCTATTTTTTTTTCCAGGAAAACAAACCTATAGTTAAAACAGTCATCTTTGTCTTCTTTTGTAAAGCTTGGCAGTTTGCACTGTCTTACATTTGTATAGTAATGCAATTCTAAAAACATTCCAAGCGTAATAGTAGTTCATCTGCACATACAGTACCCATAGTGTTACCTTATCTGGCCCTACTGCTTTTATTGTCAAAAAACTAGTAACTGTTATATTCCCTTTAATTATTTATTCTCCATAACAGTTAGTTGTTTTAGGATTAAAAGTCACTATATTCAAGTAGTTATTGTATGTAATTACCCTCTAAAACTTTCTATATAGTATTACCTAACATGTTTCCTACTCCACGTCATGATTGTCACGACCTTCATTCTTTGCGTTTTGTTTCACATTTGTTTTTGTTTTTTTTGTTTTTTTACATTCTTGTTTAATAGATTTGGTCCAGTCTCGTTTTTATTTACTATTTATTTCCAAAGTTTCTTCCTCTTACCTTACATTTTCATACTAATTTCTAGCTTATTTGAATCTATGCTAGGCCTCTAGGTTGACGCAATTACTATATTATTTTTGAGTACAGTGTTCTTCAAGGCTCCCCAGCCTTGCTGGCTCCACCTCTAATCTGTTTGCTTACATTTTCAAGTATGTTCCTTGTCTACTGCACTAATATTCTGTAGAAATGTTTACTCTGTTTCTGTGATTGTTTAACCTTTTATTCGTGTTCATATAGTTTTATAATTATATTTCTTCCTTGATAGGTTTTGTTTAATTAACATCATGATAATCTTCAAATTAATTTATCCGACCGGTTCTTATTTTTCTCGTATTTTTTTCACTCCACTTATATATCACTTCATGTTGTACAATGTTGAAATACGTTGAACACTTTTATGGGTGCATTGGCTTAAGCCGGTAGGGACTTGGACCTGCCTCGCATGGGCCAGTAGGCCTTCTGCAGTGTTCCTTCGTTCTTATGTTCTTATGTTCTTATAATCTTATTGGAACGTCGCTTCGCTCCTCCTTTATTCTGTCCACTGTTGAGCGCTAAACCCTTAGGGGGATACACAACGCCAAAGAGGAATGAGAAGCATTCGGATTGAATACAAGGAGATACCAAGCTCAATTCCTTGGATCAAGAGCCCCTTACCTGTATTAATAAAACTTCCTTTAGGGTAGCAGTGGAAAACAATACTCAATTTTTTGTCAATATTTTCCTTCAAATATTATTCAGGAAAGTTATCTTTTTCCGTTAGCTTTTCCCTCGTTTAGCCGTTTTCATCTTTTTTTTTTTTCAAAGTTTATACTGTCTGTGATGTTTTGAACTAGCTTTATAGTTCAAACATTTTCTTTGTTATTCCAACATTACTATTTTAAACTCTTCCATACGTTCCAGCTTCTCTATAACAACCGTTACTTTTTAATAATTCTTGATCGGTCTCCACTGTGTTCCTCATAACCTCAGCTTGATCTTACAGTCTTTTGGGAATTTCTTATATTCAACCTTTCATCATTTGCATTTAATTTTTTTCAAAATTACATTTTTCTTTATATAACTTTTAATAATTCCTTTCCTGTCTTACCTGATTTTTTTTTTAACTTTTATTTTCTCTTACGGTCCAAGTGTTGTAGTTCAACAGGACCTGTTAGCATACAAACACTGTGTGACTAGTGTTGTTTTACACTGTTTTTCTCCAAACACATCTAACTTTTTATTTACCCTAAAGTAACTCATAAAAATTTCACTTTTCTGAGTGGCACCTCACCAAGAATGCTCTACTTTAATTATTATACTGATACAAAAAATCATTATTCTAAGCAGCAGCATCCCCAGCACTGTACTCACCTAATTATGGTTGCAGGAGTCGATTCATAGCTCCTGGCCCCGCCTCTTCACTGCTCATTACTAGGTCCTCTCCCTTCTCCATGAGCTTTATCGTACCTCTTCTTGAAGCTATGTATAGTCCTTGTCTCCACTGCGTCACTCTCCAGACTATTCCACTTCCTGACACCTCTGTGACTGAAGAAATAGTTCCTAACATCCCTATGACTCATCTGAGTCTTCAGCTTCCAATTGTGACACCTTGTTGCGCACGCGCAACAAGGTGTGTGTGTGTGTGTGTGTGTGGGTGTTGGTGTTGGTGTTGGTGTGTGTGTGTGTGTGCTTGTGTTTGTGTGTGTGTGTGTGTGTGTGTGTGTGTGTGTGTGTGTGTGTGTGTGTGTGTGTGTGTGTGTGTGTGTGTGTGGTGTGTGTGTGTGTGTGGGTGTGTCTACGTGTGTATGTGTGTGTACTCACCTAATTGTACTCACCTAATTGTGGTTGCAAGGGTGGATACTCAGCTCCTGGCCCCGCCTCTCTCTCTCTGCTCCCTGAGCTTTATCATACCTCATCTTAAAGCTATGTATGGTTCCTGCCTCCACTACGTCACTTGCTAGGCTATTCCACTTCCTGACGACTCTGTGACTGAAGAAATACTTCCTAACATCCCTGTGACTCGTCTGAGTCTTCAGCTTCCAGTTGTGACCCCTTGTTTCTGTGTCCCTTTTCTGGAGCATCCTGTCTCTGTCCAGCTTATCTATTCCACTCAGTATTTTGTATGTCGTTATCATGTCTCCCCTGACCCTCCTGTCCTCCAGTATCGTCAGGCCGATTTCCCTCAACCTTTCTTCGTAGGACATTTCCCTGAGCTCCGGAACTAGCCTTGTTGCAAACCTTTGCACTTTCTCTAATTTCTTGACGTGCTTGACCAGGTGTGGGTTCCAAACTGGTGCTGCATACTCCAGTATGGACCTGACGTACACAGTGTACAGTGTCTTGAACGTTTCCTTACTAAGGTATCGGAACGTCATTTTCAGGTTTGCCAGACGCCCATATGCTGCAGCAGTTATCTGGTGTGCCTCCGGAGACGTGCTCGGTGTTATGGTCACCCCAAGATCTTTCTTCTTGAATGAGGTTTGCAGTCTTTTTCCACCTAGCCTATACTCTGTCTGCGGTCTTCTTTGCCCTTCCCCAATCTTCATGACTTTGGATTTGGCGGGGTTGAATTCGAGAAGCCATTTGCTAGACCACGTGTCCAGCCTGTCAAGGTCTCTTTGTAGTCCTGCCTGATCCTCATCTGATTTAATTCTCCTCATTAACTTCACATCATCTGCAAACAGGGACACTTCAGAGTCTATCCCTTCCATCATGTCATTCACATATATCAAAATTAGCACTGGTCCTAGGACTGACCCCTGTGTGAACCCGCTCGTCACAGGCGCCCACTGTGATACCTCATCACTTACCATGACTCGTTGTTGCCTCCCTGTCAGGTATTCTCTGATCCATTGCAGTGCCCTTCTTGTTATACGTGTCTGATCCTCCAGCTTCTGCACTAATCTCTTGTGAGGAACTGTGTCGAAGGCCTTCCTGCAATCCAGGAAAATGCAATCAACCCACCCCTCTCTCTTGTGTCTTCTGTTACTTTGTCATAAAACTCCAGAAGGTTTGTGACACAGGATTTGCCTCCCATGAATCTAGTTCCGTTCCAGGTGTTTCACCACTCTCCTCCTGATAATCTTCCCCAGTGACACTGGTCTGTAGTTTAGTGCCTCGTTTCTGTCTCCTCTCTTAAAAATGGGTACTACATTTGCCGTCTTCCTTACCTCGGGAAGTTGCCCAGTTGCAAGGGATGTGTTGAAGATTGTAGTTAGTGGGACACACAGCATCTCTGCTCCTTCTCTAATGACCCACGGAGAAATGTCCGGTCCCATCGTCTTTGAGGTATCAGAGTCACTTAGTAGCTTCTGCGCCTCCTCCTCAGTTGTGTGTATGTCATCCAACACTTGTTGGTATATTCCCTGTTGGTATTCCCCTCTGTGCTGTCTTCCCAGAGCCCTTCCTATCTCTTCTGTGAATACTTCCTTGAATCTCGTGTTGAGCTCCTCACATACTTCTTGATCGTTTCTTGTGAGTTTCCCACCTTCTTTCCTCAGCCTGATCACCTGGTCTTTGACTGTTGTCTTCCTCCTAATGTGGCTATACAGTAGTTTCGGGTCAGACTTGAATTTCGCTACCTTGTTGTTTTCGTACTGTCGTTGGGCCTCCCTCCTAATCTGTGCATACTAGATTCTTCCTCTTCAACTAATCTCCTTATTTTCCTGGGTTCTTTGCCTTCTGTACTTTTTCCATTCTCTAGTGCACTTAGTTTTTGCCTCCTTACACCTTCGGGTAAACCAAGAACTCGATCTGGTCTTCCCATTATTTCTGTTGCCCTTGGGAACAAACCTTTCCTTTGCCTCCTTGCATTTTGTTGTTACGTATTCCATCATTTCATTTACTGACTTTCCTGCCAATTCTCTGTCCCACTGATCCTCCTGCAGGAAGTTCCTCATACCTGTGTAGTCCCCTCTTTTATAGTTTAGCTTATCCCATTCAACTCCTGTTACCCTCTCCACTTGTAACTCTATGTATTCGAAACACAGAACCACGTGATCACTAGCTCCTCAATATCTGAATTGCTCGGGGTGAACACAAGGTCCAGTCTTGCTGGTGTGTGTGTGTGTGCCTACGTGTCTGTGTGGAAAGATACTGTTCGACTGATATCTTTAATTTTAGACATTTACAATGTAAATGATTTGGCGAGATGTTTTTTTAAGACTAAATCTTAATTTAATTGGAGTTTGGTGAGTATTACGTTGGTATTTTTTTATTTACATAATTACTGTCATATTTTAGGGATCTTGCAGGTCTCCTGCCAAAAATGCCTTTCGGATTACTGGAACCATACAGTCAGGAATTTTATTGTATTAAAATTATTTAAACGCAAGATCATAAATAAATCCAATTTGCCTCCTTCATACCTTAATCCCCCCCATCCCGGACAGTCCAGACTGCAGATTATACACACCATGTTGTCTTGCAGTCGTGGGGCCGCAAAAAGAGCAAAAGAAAACCGGGAAATGTGTACTCCATGGACTGCGTCACCTCTCTGAGCATGTCCAAGGTAAACAGTCCCACCGAGCACTCAGAGGCACCTGCTGGGAGACTATTACATTATCGTTTTTGTTTTTCCCCTATTAACTGAGGACTTCGGGACGTAGCTGAGGATGCTCGGCTGAGTGTTTTGCTGGTTTCTTGGTTATGTCTGCTGAGATATGTGTTGTTAAGCTAGTCAGTGACGACACTAGATCCCACGACACATACACACACATATGCTTGGCAGTATGGCAACAAAGTTGTGCCGAGCTTCTAGCCTTACCGAGACAAGTTCTGTAGTCCCCAGTTACGACAGATAGAGTGGAAAAATAAAGAGATAACGTATTAATCTGTGATGGGTGGGGTGCCTCAGTAGTTCATCCTGGCATCATAGTTGCTCCTTCTGGATGTCTGTGTATGTAGGTCTGCTCAACGTATCTCACACTTTTTTATTTATTTGATTTATCAACTTATATATTAACCTGTTTATTTTCTTTTCAAATTAAATAGCTACCAAAGCTGCGCATTGGTCAGTGTTGAGGTGTGACACAGCTGCCCGTGGTGCTCCTACCCAACCTGCCCACACACACAAACACCTAAATAACTCAGAAACTAAATAACGACTCACAGATTTGTAATTAAAAATATATTTCCCATGTGGTCTGAAATTCCATTCATTTTTCGTTATGCATATATTTTGTATATACTTATTTTTGTTCAAAGTTCAAGAACCTATTTTTTTTCCTGTACGTTAATTATTTTTCAAGGCAGTGACATTCCCAGAATTTTTTCACACTTCATTTAAAAATTTTCCTCTTTTTCGAAGTTAAACGTTTCTTTTCCTCTAGGAGTTGTACAACAGTGAATAAAACACTTCTGGATTTTTTTAAAAATATCTTAACAGGATTTGAAGTATCGGTAGGTTATTTGAGCTGTTAGTAATTTTTATGTGATTTAACATCTTTTCTTTCAAAAGGAATTAGTAAATGTATCTGGTCTAGCCAACAAAGTTTTTTCACCCGAGTCAAATGGTTAAATGTTCCATTACGGCAAAAATATATTTTATTGGACCAATGCGGAGTTTTGCTCTCTCTCTCTCTCTCTCTGTCTCTCTCTCTCTCTCTCTCTCTCTCTCTCTCTCTCTCTCTCTCTCCTCTCTCTCTCTCTCTCTCTCTCTCTCTCTCTCTCTCTCTCTCTCTCTCTCTCTCTCTCTCTATCATGCTGCGGCTGGCTGTGGCCAGTCATTGGAATCTTGATGTTAGCTCTGGAGCTACTTCAGGAGGACCAGCTGACCATGGATCACCCAGGGCAGAGTATTTTGGTAGCACAAGTAGCAGTATTAGTACTAGTGGTAGTTGCTGCAATTAGTATCCTAACTCTACCTCCGTCTTTCCATGCACGTTATACACTGGGGCATGCTTGTTTAAATAATTTGTTTCCTCTGGTAGTGTGGCCGGAGTGAGTGAAGGGTGGCGAGAAAGCCTTCTGCCATGCTGTTACTGTGTCTGCTATCTAGACAGAAGAGGAAGCTGGTCTGTTGTTTTTCCTTCCTCTGTAACCTCCATGTGGATTGCACGGTCTTCCGATCTCTGATTTTCCTCATGTATTCCATCTATTCTCTCATTTTTCCTTCCACCCTCCTCCCACTTGCTGTTGGTGTGCATTCAACGTGTGCTGTTTGTACAGGTGTGCGCACAGGTGTTGAGCAAGGGGTAAGCTGATGTACATTATAAATGTATTCCCTCGTGTCGTCCTAGCTGTTGGTACATAACAGTGTTCCCTCTTGTAATCCTAGCAGTTAATGAAGTGTTCTCTTGTAATCCTAGCTGTTAATAGACTGTTCTGTAATCCTGTCTGTTAATAAAGTGTTCTCTTGTAATCCTAGCTGTTAATAAAGTATTATCTTGTAATCCTAGCTATTAATAAAGTGTACTTTTGTAATCCTAGCTGTTGTACATACACTGTTTCCTCTTGTAATCGAGCTTTGGTACATACAGTTTTCTCTTGAATTTTTGCTGTTGGAAATACGGGTTTTTCCCTCATGTTACCTAGCTTTTATACAAAAAGGGTGCTTCTTGTAACCTAGTTTTTGGGTACTTTACTTTTTTCCCCCAATTGTAATTCCCCGTTATTGGCACAAAATGTTATCGACCCACCTCTGACCCTAGCCAACCCAAAAATTTAGCATAGACATGCTCAAATATTTTAACTGTACTGATGAGCATTTTTAATAGACCCAAATTTTTATTTTGTATTTTTAGATGTGAACTGTTGCCCTTTGTCGGTTTTAGTATCAACTACAAATGAGTTTAACTCTGATGTTTTGACTTAAAAAACCCACAAACGACACCCGGACAACACGGTACAACATCAGTTTTGGGTAGTTTTTATATGCCTTTTTTTTTTTTTTTAACTAACCCCAAATACCTAAAAAGAATGTAGCGTTTTTTTAATTATAGCTGTTTATGTTTAGTGCTAATTTAGGCTTTATGACCGCGGGAAACTGGTACCCTCAAGCCACTGAGAGAACGTAGTATCGGCCAGAATTCCTTAAATACATAGGGTCCATGCCAAAATTTAAAGTTCGCGAAAGGGAAAGCCAGGAAATTTTATTTATCTTAACAAAAGTTTTATGGTTCGCCGAACCTCGTCAACCAACCTTTTCAAAAAAAAAAAAAATTTGGGGTTTTTTTTCCCCTACTCTTTCAGTTTTTTAAATTCGGCCCTGTGCATCTTTCCCCGACTCCATTAGTGTTTATTTTCCCCAAACCGTCAAACAGGACTCAGTCATGTTTATATTTATCTTTCCCTTTTGGTGAATGTATGTATTATAGTATTATGATGTGTGTTGTATTTATATAAATTATATAATATTTAAAAAAATTAATATAATATATTATAAAAAATATATATATATATATATTATAAAAATAATATATATTTGTTTTTTTAGGTCCGAGAATATTTTAAACCCCACACATACACACCCAACACAAACACACACACACACACACAACACCACACACACCACACACACACACACACACACACACACACACACACACACACACACACACACACACACACACGCACACAAACACACAAACACACAAACACACACACACACACACACACACACACACACACACACACACACACACACACACACACACACACACACACACACACACACACACACACACACACACGCACGCACACAAACACACAAACACACAAACACACACACACACACACACACACACACACACACACACACACACACACACACACACACACACACACACACACACCACACACACACACACACACACGCACACACGCACACACACACGCACACAAACACACAACACACACACACACACACACACACACACACACACACACACACACACACACACACACACACACACACACACACACACACACACACACAATAAACTCCGAGGTGTCACTGTTTGCAGATGACGTGAAGTTGATGAGAAGAGTTCATTCGATCGAAGACCAGGCAGAAATACAAAGGGATCTGGACAGGCTGCAGACCTGGTCCAGCAACTGGCTCCTGGAGTTCAATCCCACCAAGTGCAAAGTCATGAGGATTGGGGAAGGTCAAAGAAGACCGCAGATGGAGTACAGTCTAGGGGGTCAGAGACTACAAACCTCACTCAAGGAAAAAGATCTTGGGGTGAGTATAACACCAGGCACATCTCCTGAAGCGCACATCAACCAAATAACTGCTGCAGCATATGGGCGCCTGGCAAACCTCAGAACAGCATTCCGACATCTTAATAAGGAATCGTTCAGGACCCTGTACACCGTGTACGTTAGGCCCATATTGGAGTATGCGGCACCAGTTTGGAATCCACACCTAGCCAAGCATGTAAAGAAACTAGAGAAAGTGCAAAGGTTTGCAACATGACTAGTCCCGGAGCTAAGAGGTATGTCCTATGAGGAGAGGTTAAGGGAAATCAACCTGACGACACTGGAGGACAGGAGAGATAGGGGGGACATGATAACGACTTACAAAATACTGAGAGGAATTGACAAGGTGGACAAAGACAGGATGTTCCAGAGACTGGACACAGTAACAAGGGGACACAGTTGGAAGTTGAAGATACAGATGAATCACAGGGATGTTAGGAAGTATTTCTTCAGCCACAGAGTAGTCAGGAAGTGGAATAGTTTGGGAAGCGATGTAGTGGAGGCAGGATCCATACATAGCTTTAAGCAGAGGTACGATAAAGCTCATGGTACAGGGAGAGTGACCTAGTAGCGACCAGTGAAGAGGCGGGGCCAGGAGCTTGGACTCGACCCCTGCAACCTCAACTAGGTGAGTACACACACACACACACACACACACACACACACACACACACACACACACACACACACACACACACACACACACACACACACGAGTGGCAAGGGTGTAAATACTTCTTTAACCTTAAAAACGAATGACCTAGGTAGTGAAGTGGTAGAGGCAGAATTTATTCATAATGTAAGAATAGATATAATAGGGGTGACACCTCCAGGAGAGAAGATCCATTATCTACGAGCGGACAAGCGGGTACTCATTCATTCACATTTAAGAGTAAACAAATACACTCACGATGGAGAATTACATCAGATTCAAGCAGGACATTAATGTAAGGAGAGAAGAAGAAACTTTGAAAAGGGAAATATAAAACGAAAACAAGACCGGAGCGATTTTTTTTTATTGTTAAAATTTGTACAAGGCAATCGCAAATGCTACAGACACAATACAAAGAAGACAGGACAACAACAGTTACCTACGAGCAAAAATGTGAGGTTCATAACAGATTTTAATACCAAACAGATTGCTGAAAAGGAGGATATTAAAATAACTGAAGAGGAAATGAAAAAAAAATAGAATCAGATACAATCGTACCATTATTTTTATACGAATGTGTAGAAAAATGTGTATCCACGTTGGAGCTGAACTCTTCTCCAGGCTGAGGGACTGACCACCTCAAATACTTTTTCTCC